GTTTGCCGTAGGACACATGCACTCCCCAGAGGGAGAAAGAGGTAGTGAGAGGGCCAGTGAGAAATCAGTCCTCAAGGGGGATGGCCATGCTGCAGTCCAGTCTCTGTTCTTTTCCTGGGACTTTGGTCACACCTGCACATGTGTCTTGCATAATTTTCAAGCCACCATATCCGGAACTCAAATCATGGTTGGCCGCCTTGGAGTCCAGTACCTTAACCACCATGCCACCTGCTGGCCCCTGCTCTCTTCTTTCTTTCTTTACATTTTATTTTTTCTTCAATTATATCTCTTCCTTTTTATTCTTTTATTTTCTTCCCTTTTCTCATTTTTTCTTCCTTTTTTCTCTCTCTCTGTCTTTGCTTTCCAAATCCTCCTTTGCTGTTGCTGCTTCTTATTCTTCACATTCATCTTCTTCCCTATAGCTTTGATTTAAAAAAAAAAAACCTTAATTAAATTAAATAGTGCAGGGACCAGCAAGTGGCATAATAATTACATTGCTGAACTCCCACGTAGTCAATCGTGGTTCAAGTCCCAGACCTGGAAGCTTAAAACTCACTCTGGGTTTGTGTATCTGCATGCCCCAAATCCCAGGAGTAGAATGGAGAAGGAATTGTGGCATGACCATCTTCCCTGGGGGATTAATTCTCATTTCCTATCTTTCTGTCTCTCCAGTGAATGCACATGCCCTATAGCAAACATCTCTCTAAAAAAGGGGAAAAAATTAAATAGTGCATAATTATTAACAAAATATATTATATAGGGTTTGTGATTCTGATATTTAAGAAAAAAGGGCAAGCCCTTGGCTTGGTGGTTAAGGTGGCAATATCCCTCATGACTGATTGTGCAGTTGAAGTCTGGGACCCTACATCTTTTTTTTTTTTTTTTTAAACATGCTAAATTTGTTAAGATACAACATCCCTTCATGATCAAGACTCTCAGCAAAATTGGCATAGAAGGGTTATTTCTCAACACAATAAAAGCTATCTATGAAAAACCCATAGTGAACATCATCCCGAATGGGGAAAAGCTGAAAGCTTTCCCACTAAAAATGGGTACAAGACAAGGATGCCCACTTTCTCCACTCCTTTTCAATATAGTACTGGAAATACTCTCCAATGCAATCAGAAAAGAAGAAAAAATAAAAGGCATTCAATAAGAAAAGAAGAGGTGAAACTCCCTCTATTTGCAGATGATGTGATTGTATACATAGAAGACCCAATGGTTTCAATGAAAAAATTCCTGGAAGCAATACACAAATAGAGTAAAGTTGCAGGATACAAAATCAATATACAGAAATCTATAGCATTTCTATATATGAACAACAGGCAGATTGAGATAGAACTGAAAAAAGTTATTCCATTTACCATAGCCACAAAAAGTAGAAGATACCTAGGAATAAATCCAATCAAAGAAGTTAAAGACCTCCGCAAGGAAAACTATGAGAAGCTAAAAAAGGATATTGAAAATGACACAAAAAAGTTGAAGGACATCCCATGTTCCTGGATTGGAAGAATTAACATAATCAAAATGGCAATTCTACTCAAATTAATCTACATATTTAATGCAATGCCAATCAAAGTACCAGACACATTCTTACCAGATCTAGAAAATACAATCATAAAATTTGTCTGGAATCATAAAAGACCCCGTATTGCCAAAGCAATTCTACACAAGAAGAGTGGAGTGGGCGGCATCTCACTCCCTGACCCAAAAAATATACTACAAAGTTGTGATAATCAAAACAGCATGGTATTGGCACAGAAACAGACATGTGGACCAATGGAGCAGAATAGAGTCCCCAGAAATAAATTCCCAAACATACAGTCAACTTATTTTGACAGGGGATACCAGTCAATCCAGTGGGAAAAGGAAAACCTCTTCAGCAAGTGGTGCTGGTAAAACTGGATTTCCACCTGCAGAAAGATGAATCTGAACCTCTACCTCTCACCATTGGCAAAAATCAAGTCAAAGTGGATCAAAGATCTAAATCTAAGACCTAAAATTATAAAACTGCTCCTAGAAAACACTGGGGAAACTCTGGGAGACATTGAGGTAGGGAAATACTTCTTAAATAAGACTCCCAATGCACAGTCAATAATCCCCAAAATAGACAAATGGGATTACATAAGACTAATAAGTTTCTGCATGGCGAAACACATAGTGATTAGTGTGAATAGACAGCCCTCAGAATGGGAAAATATTTTTGTAAACTATGTGTCAGATAAGGGACTGATAACCAGAATTCACAAAGAACTCAAGCAACTGTTCTGGAAAAAGACAATCAATCCTATTAAAAGATGGGAGAATGAGTTGAAAAAACCACTGTCTAAAGATGACATAAGAATAGCTAAAAGACATATGAAAAAATTCTCAGCATCCCTCATTGTAAGTCATTAAAAACCAACAAAACCCTGACTTTTGACAGAAAGTGGAAGAATATGGAAGATTTACTGCCGAGTGAAACAAGCTAGGCTATGAAGGAGAGACAATGTATGTTCCCACATAATATATACTGAGTGTCTGCACTCTGTGACTGAAACTGATTGACTGAAGGATATACAAACACAGTAAACTGGTGTAAATACCAGATACAGTGTGTGTTGAAGAGTAGGGTCTGAGGAAGGACATTTAGAAGAAAAATACAAAGGCAAAGCATTAATGGGACAAAGAAATGTGGTATTATCTGTTGAAGATATTTTATAACTTTATCAACTGGACTAGGGAGAAATATTCACATACTGAAATATTCACTTTGTAAGCTAAATAATGTGATTGAATGTATAAAAGAAAATGAAATAAATAAAAGAAAAACAAAAAAGAAAAACATGCTAAGTGTGCATGTGTGCCCCAAACCCTGAAATGAGGGGAACTGGAGGAAAAGGGGCTGTGGTGTGACCATCCCTTTGGGGGGTACTTTTTCACTTTCCTTCTTCTCTGTCATTTCTCCAGTGAGCACATGCATCCTTTGGCAAAATTTTAAAAAAGGAACAGAAATGTATACCCAAATACTGAAACTCTGCAGTAGTTATTTACATAGCAGAGGATTTCAAAAGCAACAAAATTGAAACTCTATATGCAGAATGCTAGGTATTGGTTAGGTGGAAATAAATTGGCAAAAGAAAATGCATTTCACTTTCAAAATAGAAATTGAATATAAATGGAAAAATATGGTATTTCAGCCTAGAATATTCTTAATAAATTGGACAAGGTTCAGAAAATTAAAATAGGGCTTCCATTTTTTAAAGTTTACATTTAATTCTTCCTGCATTTAAAAACATTTGTGTCCTTTGATGCACTTCTGGGTTATTCTCCAAAGGAAATACGCTGAACTGTAGACAAAGATTTATGTCCAAGGATTTTAGTTATGACATTGTTTATAATTTTAAAAAGCCAGGAACCATCCAAATATCTATTTAAAATAGGCAGATTGTATAGTATCATTATAATAAAGAAATATATGTCCATTAATATTAATCTTCAGGAAGACGGTTTAGTATTGTGGGAAAAAAGCTTCTGATATGGTAAGTGGTAAAAAGGATATATTTACACGGTCTGATGCTAATTAGGTAAAAACAGTATCCATACAGGAAAATACGTTAATAGTTAACTCTGAGAAGTACATTGTAGTTGGTTTGTATTTCCCGTCTTTTAGAAAAAAGCACATACTACTTTTATAATAGCAAATATCAATAGATTATTTTTTTAAATTGCAGGGGCCACTAAAATATTACATAGTCACTTCTATTGTGTTTTAGAGTTGGAGAATAGAGCAGAGCTTATTTAACCTGGGAGCTGCTGCCTGAGCGTAGCAGTTGGTTCAGGGAGGTCATCAAGAGCTGTTTTTTGGATGGCCTCGATGGGCCATCAGGTTTCCTACAGTTTTTGCTTTAGTTGGTCTGTGATGTGATTAGTTCTGTCGTTCACTAGATGTCACTTGCTGATCAGAAAGTCTGGCTGTCAGCTTTGTCTTTGATAAAGAAAATAGGAAGACAAGGTCATTACTACCCAATACATATGCTTTATTTGGTTAGCCTAACATTTTAAGACCCAAGGTAGCAATGACAGATGCCTGATGGTATAAAGTAGGAACATTCTGGATCATTTCTCAGTCTTTGGGTGCTGATTCTTGTATAGCTCATGAAACCATTTTAGTGGGTCTCTGCCCACATTACTTTGTAAATGACATTCGAGTGGAGGAGAAAATATCAGAGTGCAGTGCAGGAGGTAAGCAGTTTGAACATTTTTATTTCTTGCATGTGTTTGTAGGCCCTGGATTGTGACCTTTTTTTTTTTAAATTCTAAGGTTTGTGATTAGAAAGAAAAAAAAAAAGTCCAAAGACTTCTATTTTGATCTAGACCAGTGAGTCTCAGTGTGCTTCTGGGATCAATAGCATCAGCGTCACTTGCGAGCATGTCAGAAATGCAGATTCTCAGCCCCCACCCTAGACCTACTGAATCAGACACTCTGGGGGTGTGTCCGGCACCCTGGGGTTTCCTAAGACCCCCAGTAATTCTACATTATGCGCAATCAAATTTGAGAACCATTTGTCTAGCTTTGGTATGCCAGGTGTGGTCTGGAACTACCTTATAAGTCACCTGTGAGCCAGTGGTGAATGCAGAATCTCAGATCTAACCTAGCCCTACTCAGCCAGAATCTACAAGATCCCCAGGTGGCTAGTGTATATGTAATAATGTTGAGAAGTGCTGATCCAAACCACGCATGTCTCCAGGGGCCACGAAGGTAATATCAGGAGGAAGATATGTAGTCTGGTTTTCTCCCTAAAGAGAGAGTAGAGCCATAAGAAGACTTTTTGGTGTGAGGTTTAAATATTCTTCATTATTTAAAAATTTTCTGTGTTTATACCAGTTGAAGTTAACACATCCCACCAAATTCATCAACTCAGGTTAACTGCAGTTGACACCAATTATTTTATGCAGATTCTTAAGCACAGACTTGGATAGAGTGACTCATCATATTAACATCTTCTCATCTCTTTTAGGAATTTATCAAAGAACTGCTCTCTCGGATAAAAGGCATGAGGAAACTGAGCCCTCCACAGAAGAAGGGCGTATGATTCTGGAACAGGGTGGAATTCTCCCAGAGTTGAAGAAAGCATTCTGGGATTTGGACTAAATGAAGACTTTCAATAGAGAATAGTTGTCTTATGAACAACTTTTTGTTTGTTTTTTTGGGGTGTGTGTGGTGGGAATCTGTTAGACATTTATTCAAGAGTGTTCCTTTTCTTTGTTTGTTTTTAAAGGTTTTTGTTAGTAATATTTTAATAGCGAAGATATCATGACTCTGGCCACAGCCTAATGAAAGTTTAGCAAGGCTGGGCCAGGCCAGACCATGTTTGCTGCAAGGACTCTAAGGTTTAGGACCTTACTATACAGGGAAGATGGTTTTCTTACAACTAGTTTGGTAATACTTTCTTAAGTTGTACATTTGACTCAGATGTTGAATTTCTTGTACTTGTATATATCTACACAACTATGTTAAAATGTAAATGTGAGTTTTATTTCACATTGATGGAATAAACTTGTGGTTGTCCTTTAATTGGAGGTCACAGCACATGTGTTTTCCAGAGGCTGCCACTAGGCATTCTCCATGTGAGTGCTGTAGACATTCAACATTCACTTTCTGCACCAAAGTGAAAGAATTCGGTGTATCCGTTATTTTAATGAGCTACACTATGAAAATGTTGAGTTGGTCAAGGGCTTAATTTATGGACTTTATTTCATTGGTTGGGATGCTTTGCCAGATCATGAACTTATTGTGTCATCTGTGGTCTTTTAAAGTTTTATGAACCCTTAATTTGAAGAACTCACTTGATTTCTAGAGAGATACCCATGCTACCTGAGTGGTGTTCAGCAATGGAAAAAGAAAGCACCATGTAGCCATGAATCCTCTGCTTTCAGTGGAGTACTGTGTATTATTCTCTTTCCGTGACAGCAGGTCAAAGGGAAGTTAGTGGATTTAGTGTGTTCCTACTTACAAGACTCGATTCTGGCCCCTTCTGTGCCTGGATAGTGTCACACCAGAGGGTGTGAACTATGTGTTGAGCAGGTGCAGAGATGAGAAAGCCTTGCCTTCTCTTGAGACAGTTAGTTCAGGAACATTCACTGGTTTGCAAATGTGGAGATTGCATGTCTGGCTTCTCTCAATAGTTTGTGGTGAGGACTTTGGAGGCTCCTGGCCCCAATTGTGCAACCTGATCCCTGTGCTCAGAGCAGGGCTGATCACTAGTCCTGAGCTCTCTGCTCCATACCAGCTCTTTGGAAAAGGATCAAAACTCAGATGGGATGTGGGCAGGTCAAAGGTAGGAGCAGAAATTCTTCCTTCACTCTGGGAGACCCCACAGAAACTGCATCTACTGGATGTCGTCTCCAGGTGGCCCTGCCCCAGGACAGGGGTTAGGCATTTTATATCAAGGGTGCTCTGAACATATTTTATTTTTAAAAAGAACTCTGTTTGTGAATTTTACGTATTCTGGCAAGCTTTTGAAAATGTATTTAATTTTGTAATGTTTACCAATGATTTATTTACATGCTATTTACTCAAATAAATGGAGCTGCTTACAAATCTTTTCATCATGTGTGCCTTGCAAAACACATTCCCATAGCAATTGCACTTTATCAGGTTCTCTGTAGAAGAGGGTTCCAAGCACCTACCTATGGCTGGCTTTTCGTTTTCAAGGTATGTCCAGGTACTTAATCCTGGGCTTCACCAGAGCCTTCTGTAGATCAGACGGTGGAAGCAAAGGAACCGAGACACCCTGTGTGGCTGAGCTAAAAATGGAAGCTGAGCTCTGTGCGCTCAGCATGGCCGGGCCTCTGCTCCCACACCATCCTAGGCCATGACCCTTCCATTTCATTAAAACTCTCTTTTCCCCAGCTGATAGAAATCCTCAAGAGGATTTCATATTCACAAAATATTTCAGTGATTGTTAAAATGCCATACACCAAATAAATCAGAAAAATACAGTATTTGCAGATCTTCATTAGGCTTGACCAGCTCAAGTTAGGGTCTTCCAATGAATCAAGAATGATATTTTCCTCCCAAGGCCTCTGATTCCCCCATACACACACTCTCCACCTTCCGTCCCTCCCTGGTTCAGGGCCTAGCATCACCTAGTCCCCTAGTTTTCTAGTTAGAAATTTAGTCACTTCCTTGACCTTGGGCTTCCCCAATAGACCCCCATCACGAAGCTTGTCGCTGCTGTGAAACCCACCTTATGTCTCACCCCATTTTCTGAGTCAAAGATTTTGGGGATTCCCTCCACTTATTGAGAACTTTCCCTGGAATCTAGCCACTTTGAGAGTGCTGTCCCACTCCCTGTCACTGCCTGTCACTTTACTCCTTTTACTCCCATCTTTGGATGCTTGACTCAGGACCTCTTAATTGTGTCGCATGGTCTTAGAAGGCCTGGTGGGAAGTACTATTAGTGGTGAGAACCTTTGTCTGTGGGCTGTCTAAACAAATAGAACTCATATTTGTAGTTGGAACTTTCTGAAAGTCATTTTCAAATTGGACACAGACAGGGATACCAGTCACTCTTTGGTTTATTTTAAGCCAGTTATTACTAAGAATTAGCCTCATTTCCTTTGGGGCTTAGGATATAACTTACTGTGTGTTTGTAATATGCCTGTGAAATACTGAACTGCTTTTCAGTCTCCTCTGAGTGAGAAAGAGCGGCCCAGGCTCTGTGCAGTTCCCTCTCACCCCGACTCAGAAACTAATGCTGGAATGCGTCACTCTGTAACAGCTCTCCACCCCACCATGGACACCAAGTCGGAGTCGTCCTCTCTAGCTGACTGCTATATCTTGCCTGGGAATGAATTGTCTTTTTAAGATTGGATTTTTGTCCATTCTCTTGGCTCTATGGACATTCCTTCCACAACACACTGATAGTTCAATGGGGTACTAATATTTAAATAGCCACATAATAGAGCCTAGAAACCTGCTTTTCTCATGCTTCCATTGGGTTGGTTATTCAATGAGGCAGATTTCTTTTTGGTATATTTTCCTTTACATTCAGTCTCCTGGGAGGGGTGTTTAAAAAAACTGGCTGGGGAGGGACCAGCAGTTAGCGTAATGGCTATGTCGCTGGACTCCCACATAGTCGACCGCGGTTTGAGTCCCAGACCCGGTGGCTTAAAACTCACGCCGGGCACATGTGAGTACGTGCCCAAGATCCTGAGAGGAGAATGGAGGAGAAGGGATTGCGGCGTGGCCATCCTCCCTGGGGGGTGACTTCCCGCTTCCTGTCTCTCTCTCTCTGTCTGTCTGGCGAGCGCACGTGCCCTGTAGCAAAAACTTCTCAAAAAAAAAATATAATACTGGCTGGGTAGCCTTCTTTGGACTCACCCTGTTCTGGTAGATTCTAGAGGTAAATATCCCTAGCAAGCACAGGAGGAAAAGAAAAATGCACTTTGCCATAGCATTTATATAGACTTTATCAAACTTGTATGCATAAGTCAGTATTATAGTTGTTGGGAGGCAATTCTACAACAGAAGACAAAAAATAGAAATGGAGCTCAGCGACTAGCTGGTGCTACCAGATTTGTTCTTGTCAAGGCCTAGATGATCCCTGCAGTGTCACCCAGCATGCTCACCCTCTGGGAGGCAGGTGGCAAGTTGCTTGAGGGTCAGTGATTGACTATCTGGTGTTTGGATGGTTAGTAGCAAGAAATTACTCCTTTGGTGCTGCCTGGATTTGTAAAAGAGGTCATTAAAGACTCAAGCTTCCTTGGGGCTGGCAGATGGCATGTGGTTAAGGAGGCTGGACTCCCACATGGCTGACCATGGTTTGAGTCCCAGACTTGCAGCTCGCTATCTCACTTTCCTTCTCTTTCTCTCTCTCTGGTGAATTTCAAAATAAATAAATAAATAAATAAATAAATAAATAAAACAAAATGACTCAAGTTTCCTTTCAGATAGTAAGGGACAAATAAGATAATATGTCTTTCTTTCTTTCTTCTTTTTCTATGGGGCATATGCAGGCTCCAGAGAGAAAAGAGAGAGGGAAGTGAAAAATCACTCCCCATGGGGAATAGCCTGCTACAATAATTTCTCCTCCATTCTTCTCTCAGGATTTTGGGCACACATGCACACACATGATTTCAGGTCACCAGGTCTGGAACTCAAGCCACGTAGAGTCGTTTTTGGCTGTAAGCCCAGATGGGGTCCAGTCTGTACAATCTATAGGACAGGCCTATGTCATCTTCATAGAGTACCCCAACACCTTGGAGAACCACCATTTTCTGTAATGAGTGATGGGTGAGGAGTTCAGTAAAACCTCTAAAACTGGTTGAAAAAAATAGCATAGATTTTTTTTTCTTTTTTCTGAACCTGACTTTCTGTTTCGAACATGTGTGCTCCTTTTAGAATTGGAAACTCCTTGCCTAAAAGGCAACTTGGAACTCTTTTTTTTTTTTGGAGAGATTTTCACTATAGGGCGTGTGCGATCGCCAGGCAGACAGAGACATAGAGACAGAAAGCGAGAAATCAACCCCCAGGGGGGATGGTCACGCCGCAATCCCTTCTCCTCCATTCTCCTCTCGGGATCTTGGGCATGCACGCACACGTGTCCAGCGTGAGTTTAAACCACCAGATCCAGGAATCGAACCGCAGTTGACTACGTGGGAGTCCAGCGATATAGCCATTATGCTAACTGCTGGTTCCCGCAACTTGGAACTCTCAAGAACTCTTTTTAATTTTTTTTTCCTCAATGTTTGTCATTTTTATTTGTAATAAAGGTCTAAGTTTCAAACTGCAACATTTTTACACTCAAGACATAGTCATGAACAATACACATTTCAATTTTCTATTGCTTCGACTATAATTTAAAAAAACAATATTGGAAACAAAAATCCTTTAAAAGATTGAATGCTGAGGTCAGAAGGGTGGAACCATACCATCAGCAGGTCTAGAAAAGAAATAACTTACTTTTAAAAAAGTCAAACAAACAAAAAGACCATAAATACATTTGATCTAAAGTTCCAGAAGAATTTGACTGCACATGGGTTTTTAGATAACACATTTTGACCAAAGTAATATACAACCAATGATATACAATTCTGATAAATAATGAGAATGAAGATCCTCCTCACCATGTCTTGTCTGGATATTAGAAGTATAATCACAGTAGGTATCAGTATCCCTTGATCTGGCTCCTCCTGGGTGATGTGCTGAGATGTAAAACATAACCCCTTGATGGTTATAGTAGTCTGTGAAAGATCTTATCATCACTAATGAGTATAGTATATTCAGGTCCATAAAGCATGCCACACGCAAGCACACACGTTGAACTTGAATTTCACACTCAGGACTGGTTGGCACTCTGCTGTAGGCAGGGCATGGGGACCATGTGCTGACTAACTTCCAGTTTACCCTCCTTCCAGCACCATACAAGTGGCCAATCACTGTGAAAGTCGTCAGCAGAAATGCTGTCTTAGGATCCAAACAAATGAATTTGTCAACACTCAATGCTAATAGCATGTAACTACATTTCTATTTCTCTCCTTGCCACTTGCATGGGCTTAGGTCCACCCTGAATGCGCCTGATCTCATCTGATCTCAGAACTCTTAACTTTTAGGGTGCCCATAACTCAAGTCCCAGACTCGGCAGCTTGAAAAACACACCAGGCATGTATGCACATGTTCCCAAAATTTCAAGAGGAAAATGACAGAGGAAGGATTATGCATAGCCATCCCCCTGGGAGTGATTTTTCATTTTCTCTCGCTCATCTCTCTCTTGAAGTGTGCTTGCCCTCTAGCAAACATCTAAAACAAACCCAAAAAACTCTTAAGCTAGGTGTTCTTAAAGCTACTTCATGTAGGCATAGTGGGGTGCTCGCAAACTCTGAAACTTCATGGGAGATGGACTCTAGTCAAATGGAACTGAAAGAAGAAAGAGGAAAGATTGAGGCAGAGCCACACAGAGCAACAGTGTGTGTGTGTGTATGCGCGTGCATGTGCATGCATGCATGCCAAAGCCTGAATGCTAGAAAGAAGAGAGAGGGAGTGCAGAGAGGCATGACTGTCTGGAAGAGAAGAGGGTCCAGGCTGTCGTGGGGCTCTAAGCATGTCCATAACTAGAATAGGTGAAAAACCAAGGCTGGAACCTTGGATCTCAGGCTCATGGGAGGCCGCAGCCATGCAGGAAGCTAGGGTCTGGGGGCCTCAAGAATAGCTGGTGTCTAGCTCCATTCTCAGCCTCAGACCTCGCTGTGATTAGATTTCCTGGTCTCCTTCCTTCCCACCTCATCCCCAGATGCTCCACTCTGCTGAATTCCTTCCATAGATGAGAGCTTCTCCCCAGCATGCAACCCCAGCAGTAAGTAAGGGCCTTCCTGGCAGGGGATCCTGGACTGGAGCTCCGCCCCATACCCTCACATGAGCACACTGGCTTGTTCACAGGGCTCTAGGTCTCCCCTATTCTGGTTTCTGTGATGGGTTCTGCCTGCGAGTCCTCATGGTCACAAACCGTCAGGTAGGTTTCCCCTCAACACCTTCAGCTTCACATCTCCTTCACGTGCCAATGTCCTGTGGACACACTCCTGCGTCT